TTTGTTATTTGATTTTGATTTTATGTTTTGTTAATTTAAGTAATTCATAAATAAATACATATTTCTCGATGTAGTTTTAATTTTATTGCCTGAAAACCTTATGTGTCCGGCACTAGGGGACTTCCCCCTAAGTAAAGAATACAAATAAAAATAATAAAAACACACTTCGATGGTAAATGGAACTGAAGACTAAAAGAGACGTCCATGAACTACTTCCTGGGCTCATCATCTGACTATTCGTTACCAAGGCCGAATCATTAGACTTTTTTTCAAGCAAGTAAGGTTGTTTACGAGTAGTTACTAAAGACCATAAAGGTCCCTATCCACAACCTGACCCCCTCATCGGATCAGCTCTAACATCATCAACAGCCTTTACTAGTCCACTGCTGGAAATAGGCCTCTTCTTAGAAAGGAGGTTTGGCCATGCTGGCCAGCTCTAACATATAAATTCTAAATGACAATATTGTGATATAACCTGCATATTAAACAAAATAACTGCTTCGGTGCCGCAGTGGTAGCGTATGCGACTGCTGTGCTGAAGTCTAAGGTTCGATTCCCGGGTCTTACCAAATGTTTGTATGATCTACAAATATTTGTTTCGGAGTTTTGGTTGTTTTCTATTCTACGTATAATATGTATAATATAATATAATAATATATCTCACACACGGCCGTCTGATCCCAAACTAGGCAGAGCCTGTACTATAGTAACCAGACTGCTGATAAACATACATATATATTTTTTAAATAGATACATATTATAGATAAATTACACCCAGACATAGAACAGATGACCGTGCTAATCACACAATATTTGTCCTAGGTGGGAATCGAACACACGACCTCCGGTTTAGCAGTCAGGGTCACTAACCACTAGACCAACAGGCCTGTCAGTATGTATTAACAAAACAAAGTATATAAGTATTCTATCAGTAAATCTAGCTTTCATAGTACAAGCTCTGCTTAGCTTGAAACTAGATGGCGTTGTGTGTTAGATGTCCAAAATAAATCTACTTTATGCAGATGATCTGAAAATCTTCATTTCAATTTGTAATATCAATGACAGTAATTTATTACAAGAAGAATTGTATCGCTTTTCTCGGGCGCTATTAGACATTAAGCTCCCTCTTGATCAACACATAGACAACATAAATAAGAACGCTATTTCTTCGTAATGAGTTCCACCATAGATTTTAGACGTATTGATACTTTTATCCACCTATAAAATTCATTGGTCATAACGCTGGAGTGTTGTCCTCGTTATTAAGGGCATAGATATATAGATTGGTAAGAGTGCATTTTTTTTTTCAAAAAACCACGCAGTATCGTTGTCGCCATACTTATACTCGTAAAAGCAGTAATGTATTAGACTTAAAATCTCGACGTCTCCTTCTGGAAACTATGTTTTTATATGACCTATGCAATAAGAATCGATTGCGCTGAACGACTAAATCAATAATGTTACATTGTCCTGAGGACTGTTTTCGCGTGGCGCACCTTCCGTCTGAAGACAGTCCTCCGAACACTCGGAACGCGCCCCTACTCTTTGCTGTTTCACCAGCCGAACTAACGCCGACGTTCGTGCACCTCTACCTCGCAATGTCGTTAAATATATTTCTTTTTAGATTTAGATATATTTACTTTGTCACTTATCAAATTTTAACAGTCCCTGTTCCAGAACCTCATATTCAAAAAATCAAAATTCCATAGATATGTAAATTTGGTCCAAATAAAAATAATCTTTATATTTAGGTAGAGTATATTTTTCTATTGCTTTGTGAAGTTAAATACTTATTATAAAAGTATATATATATATATATCGCTGATTATATTAATAAAAATTGTATCTAGAATGGACAGTATAAGCCTTTGTAACATGTTCTAGCTGCATTATTGTGAATGCGTAATTAATCACTTAACCCCTTTATTTTGTTTTGGAGCAACATAACTGCTAGCAGAACTTCACATTGACTAATGAAGCAAAAGGATGACTTTATCAAGAATTTAGTTTCCATGGTCAACTTTGAATAACTGATAATAAAATAGTTCTTATGCAAATCTTAATTAAGCAGATGGTGGATGGCGTTGGCGCATGTTGCGTCGCAATTAAACTAAGTAGAATTAAGGTATGTGAGAATCCTACGCAAGCCTCGCCACAGTGACCTTTATAGTATTAATATTTTATAACATTTGCAATTTAACTACTTTCTACTTAAGACCTTTTATAATTCATTACTATATTATAAATATTTATTTCTAAGTCTAGAATTTAAATATTTAATCCTTAAATAAGCTTATTATTTAATAATTAATTATTTAGATTTAATTTGCAATTGCACTATACAACTTTTTATTTAAAAATTATAAGATTTTTTTTTACAAATTACACAAAATTAGGTGTTAGGTGAATTACTAGCGTGGTATAGTAGGCCAAAACCTCCTTTTAGGGGATGCCTATGTCCAGCAGTGGACTATTATAGGCTGACGATGTGTAAATTACTAGTATATGTAGATGTAATAGATATTCAAATTGAAGATGCAAGACAGACATGATTAATGGCAGGGTCCTCTTGTACATGTTAGAACGAGTATGATTTAATAAGACGGCTCGAAATAGATTGCGGTCCGCAATGTGAGGTGACTGCACAGGAATCGTCCAGGAAGAACGTAACCTCTTCCTGTAATTTATTGTACACTTGTCTGTTGCTTGGCTGTAAACGTCAAAATATTTTGCTATAACTTGTGGTCCTGCCTTGTTTTTTTATTTTGCTTTATTTCTTAACAACGAAAAGTTAAGGATATTTCTTTAATTCTTGATAATAATCTGAATAAATTTACATTTGACGAACTGAACGAAACATTGTATGTTAAGCACCATTATTTGGAATGGGACTGAGTATAATTTATCTTTAATATTTAGTAATATAAACTGTGTTTATGAGCAGCCTGGGTACGATAGTACAATATTCTCTGCCTATTTGAGGGTCTAAGTACTAAAACAAAGGGACCTCAACATAATTTGTTAGTAAACACAAATAAAATTTTATTTTCAGTCCAAAAAATTTGTATGAATGCTTCGTCTGAAACATAGAGAAATATGATTTCTTTAGATTATTCAAAGTGTTGATGTAAAAAAGATGTTATTCCGACTACTAGTACAAAAAAAAATAGTACAAATCTATAACAAATACTTCTTATTTCTAAAAACAATTAAGTACTTCTTTTTTTCCTAAAATAAAAGTTCCTTCTTTTTTCTAAAATAAAAGGTACTATATCAATGTTTTTTAAATAGACTTACTTAAATAACGGTAATCATTTAAGTAATACATATCGTACATAATAACGTACATTATCTATTACATAAAATCTTTTTCTACCAGTAAATATCGCCATAACGGCTTTTAGTTTCAAAATACATTACATAAAAATGTTCCATTATGTTTCAATAGAAAAACAGATGTCGTTATTACGAGTATATTTTTTATGTTCTTTTCTTAAGTCTAAATATACGGTTATTACTTTATGAGCTCCTACTGTAAAAGGCGTTCATACGTAGTGTATCTAAAAATGGTGATTCCGGTTATCAAGACCATTCTCGACAATTATGTAGAGACATTACCTACGTAGGTAAATACATAAAATTGTTTTCGTTTGTTGAACTCCAGTAACATAATAAAAATATATTTTTAGCACTGATAGGATTACGTCAACAAAAGTTAATAAAAAAAGGAGAAATAAGTACGAAGGTTGTACTTCTATACCGACTAACATCTCTACTGAATCCAAATGCCGTTATTAAATTTACAAATATGTATTGTATATTTTGAAATACAGTTATTAAACTAGACCAAGAATTTTTCACAACAATTAAAATAAATATGCGTAACCGTCTTCAGAAGATGTTTAACAAATCGTTGAAAGTCAATTTAAAAATTTCAATTAAAATTATTAGGTATTTACACAATTCATGTGTCAAATTTCAGAGCATTTGTGTATTTATCCGTAATTATATTCCATTCAACACATTTTCATATATAAAATGTTGCCAAGACGAGACCATTTGGCTCGCATTGTCAAAAAGTCATCAGATCTCATGTGGAACCAAACTTCTAACTCTACACGTCCTAACTCTACAAGCCATAACTTCACAAACACTACACCTTAATATATGACTTGGCTTGGCTTTGCTTGGCTCGTCTTGGCGGGGCAACTACCGTGCCTCCAGATAGGTATATAAGTTAAATTTAAAATTCATTGCTTCTTGTACATATGTGTCAAAGGTTTAGTAATCTTATGAAGTACAGTTTAACTTAAATACATCTTTATATTCATAGACGGAATGATTGATGTAAAGAGTTTTAAGAAATTTTAAGTATTATTATAATACTGAGATAAACACATTTTTAATTGTGTGTGTTGTGTGATTAGTGGTCTAATATGCCTATTATTTTTAATCCTATATAGCCGTGGAAAAGTCAGTATAAAATAAGCAAATAAAATAAAGTATTTACAGATATCCTAACCATCTGGTACGTAAACCCATGACTCTTAAGAAACTAATACTGGTGTGAGAACAGCTGGTAAGGTATGCACACATTTAGTTAATATCCCCAAACCATACTTACCTGACAATAAAATTATTTAAAATAAATATAATATAGTTTGTACACGTTTGTATAGGCTCCGTGTACATTTTTCATTGAATTCTGATGCATTGTATATAAAAAAATCATATTACATACTAATAAAAACTCATGACAACACTACTTATCTGCAAAGGTCGATAATTACAATAAAAGCTTTACGTGACTCACTTATTAAATCCTTGTAATAAGAACTACACCATTGTAGAACACACCCGCCCTTATAGGCTTTCCTTTGGCATCCTGACTTAAACTAGAACCCACGTAGTACTTGTTTTTTATCTCGGAGCCTATAAAAGCTAGCCTTTGCTTTTAGCCCTGACATTGTCCTGCCAGTTTGCCGCATACAAGGACCGCAATGATTAAAATTATTCTATATTCTCTTGCACTCGTTCAGGCGTTGTGGGGTGCTGAATTGGTCAGACCAAAGCCGAGATTATTATGTAAGTAGATAGACTTTAGATTTAGTTTGTACAGTAATAGTTAGAGCATAATATTTTTTATGGAAAATAGGTAGTAATTAAAGTATATACATAACATGGGTAGCTGTAGCTTTCAAAGATGCACTGAACATTTAGTTCGAAAAAGAATCACTAACTGGCTCAAAGCACAGGTTTCAACCAAATTTGAGAGTTAGAAATGCTTGATTTATTGATGTTTTTGTAACAATTAAACTTGATTAAATTAAGTACAAAATTAACTGTAAAACATAAAAAGCTACATTATGCTATAATTAAAAAATGCGTTTGTCTCTCAAATCAGTTCCCGTTTATCCCTCATTATATTATGTTTGATGTTTCCTATGTTTCGATACAGTTGCACCTAATTTTTATCATAATTACTTTGGAAACTGATTATTAAACTGTTTTAATTACATAAGCGAGATGTGTTGTTATTTTTTCTTCAAAAATACTATGTTCGAAAGAACAATAGCAGTAGATTGAAGTAAAAGGGCTACAAAAAGTTGAATTTTAACACTACCACCACAAACCCATTTTACATTTTTTTTGTCTTGTTTCGTTTTGTAAAATGATTAGCTAATACGTTAACTGTTACAAATTATTTTGCGGAGGGTCGAAGGGTTAAAAAATACCCACCAAACTTGAACTAAAAGTCCGAGTTCCAATGTTCTCATGCGGTAATATTAAATCTCTCGTAAGAAATACCCAAACGTATTTTTAGTTTTGTGGATATTTTTATTTATAATTTAAATGAATTGTTCTACATTTATCGAAGGGTACATATACTACTATCTCTTATGTCATATGTAGCTTCAAAATATGAAAGGGAAAGGTAAAGGTAGGTGCCTAACTCAAATGACGTACGAAAAATAAACAGGTTACGTAATAATATTTTTATTATAGAATTGTTTTGTAGAATGCACGGATGGTGTAGTGGTTTAAGCAGTCCCCTCGCTGATTTCTTTTGCGCCGATTGTTGTGGGTTCGATACCCACATGCTACAATACTTTGTGTGATCCAAAAAATTGTTTATCTAAATCTGGGTGTACTTTGTATCCGTTTGCATTAATGCTTATAAAGGCACCCGCAACACAGAATATATTCACAGTGCGGAAGATGTCTTTTAAAGAAATAAAAAGAAATAAATTTAACTTTAGTCTTTTTAATGATTATATACCATTAAATAAATAGTATGTTAGTAAAATACTATTACTTGATTATAAAATCAATAAAATAAGATATTAGTTTTTATTGTATTGTTAATTTTTCATACAAACAATTTACATATAGGTTTTACGTTTTTTGATCATTTTAGCAAGAATATCTTTACTATATTTATGTTCAATATGTATATGCATTTCTTTATTTTTAACTTACATAGAGATATAATATAATGATTATATTTACATAAATGCCATCATTATATATGTCAGTGTAAAAATATTTCAATTTCGGTTTAAATAATTTAAAATTAGAGGTAGATAGGACCACTACCACGACTCGCTATAAGCCGCGGGCGCCCTTTAGTGGGAGTGCCATGGGAACACCGTGGTTTCCGCACGTAAGGGGTCATCTGTAAACCAGTTAATGGCACGGGATCGGTGGGAAGTACTCTCTTAACTTATTTATTACATTTTCAAAATTATTGTAATATAGTTAGTACTAAAAATTGATACTGAAAAGTTGCGAGCCTCTTATAGTATAATATAATACTTACTGGAGATTATTTGAAGGTTGAATTTGAGTCATAATTTATATTTATATATTTTAGTTCATTTTTTTTACTTTATATTCTTAGTTTACTTGACCCTTTGCAGCAGTTTACACTTTTTTTGACTTTTTTTTACAATGAATTCATGATATGGCCTTACTATGATTCAAGAAGGATGGCAAGTAGTAAATTTATCTTATTTTTCTTTTATATAACTACTATCTAATCCATAAAAGTAAAAATTGAACACGGATGGCGTAGTGGTTTAAGCGGTCGCCACGCCACCCGCTTCCTGCTGCGCTAAGTGTTGTGCATTCGATCTCCACATGGGACACCATCCACAAACTGTTTTTCTGAGTCTGAGTGTTCATTGTGTCCGTTTTATGAATGTTTGTAAAGCCCCTCGCGACACAGGATATATATTCCTAATGCGGGCGTTGTCTTTTATAAATAAAAAAAAACAAAACGAAATTAAAACTGGTTTGTTTAACGTAATAAAGTTGCATATGCGGAATAAATTAGCATTTGTATCTATATTTAACAGAATCTCCACCGACGGTTGCATTCGAGCATGCATGGAATAAAGTTTTTATATTTAACTGCCATCCATGTTTAGTTTCTAAACGTTTGGTATGTTTGACTGTAACTAATTATATATTCATCAAAATTATAAAGAAAAAACATGATGTATTGTGATGAAGAAACTAAATAAAAGTATTTTTTTACTGTTGACTGATAGGACTTGGAGGAAATTGCTACACCTATTGAATTACGGCGGTAGCCTAGTGGTAAAAGGCATTGGACTTGCGATCAACTACCGATCACTACCGACGTGAACCCACTCCTAACACAAGCAATTTAACTTAGCGGGAGGGGTTAACGGGAATACTAATAATTTCGGTTGCTAGTAGATCTTTAAAAGAATGAACTTAATTCTGAAAGAAGGAACTTAATTCTTTAAGTTCCTTTTACTGTTCCAAAATGAAGGGAAATTAAGAAAAGAAGTATAAAGAGAAGTGGTTTGAAAATGCCGTAAGGCGAAACCGGTCAGGTTTAGTAAATAAATATTGTGGAACAGTACAAGTGACTTACCTTTTAGTGCTTAATACTGACATACCGGCACACATCAAAACAATATTGTGGTATAATTAATATTATTTAACGGGAATTAACGCGATCTCTTATTTAGGGTATTACATACCTTTGGTTTGCCTGTGACCACGGCCGGTGCAACCTGGTCGAAACGTCAGGCAAACCAAAGGTATGTAATACCCTAAATAAGAGATCGCGTTAATTCCCGTTAAATAATATTAATTATCATGGAACGCGAAAGTTTAAAAGTTAATATTGTGGTATATTTATTGATGCCATTGTATCTATGTATCAATTTTAAAAAGAGTAGCAGTGAGTTTGTTTGCTCTTTCTCCTCATAAGGCTCAACCCCTTTGAAATGGGCGGTTGTAGATAGGCACAAGCATATAAGTGATTTTCGATACGTATATTTATTTACTTTGCTAAACACTTACAGCTTACTGTACTTGTGCTATTTGACAAAACAGAGATTATTGCTATTATGCGTTTTGATCTATGATCTTTAGAGCATACAGTCATAAGAGACGATTTCAAACATTTTTTTTTTTTTTTTTATGAAATTAAGATATTTTGAGATTGAGTTTGAATTAGTACGTGTCGGGTACGATGAGGTTGGCGTAACTTTGTAAGGTAAGACTCTAAATAAATTGGAATACACAAAAATACTTTACATTTTTTTTTGAAATATTTTGAAATATTCATAGTTTGTTCGAAATATGCATAAAAATATAAATACATAGTATCGCATAAATAGTAATCAGTTTTACCGCTCTAAGGAACATTAAAAGTCAACGAATAATAAATCAGTATTTTAATTTGTTTAGCCAAACTGAGGAACTCATTAAAAAATAAAAAAGTGACCCCAATTAAATACTTCCTAAAATGGCGTTTCCTATAATTAAAATAAATCGCCTGATTTTTTTGTGGTTAATATGTGTATCAAATATCACAATAAATTACCAGTTGCAGATAACTTTGATAACAAAAATGTTTCTTAAACTTTTAACGCGTTCCTTTAAATTAAGACGTAATTAAAGAAAATACCTAAATCCTTGCTTAGTCACATAATAATATGACACAATGTAAGGTGAAGTCTTTATAGATGATTCTGCATGCGATTATATGTATATTCAATAATGAACTGTGCCTATCAATTATACAAATCGAATGAACAGACCCTTACGAACTATGACGTACGCCGCTATCGAACCTTCGAGATTACGTTGCATGTGTCGTCATATAAGGATACTCTACGAACCCTGGCCATTCTCGGTCAATGATCTTTACACAGAACACTAACCTTTTACTTGTAACGAACAAAAATACATACATATAAGGTACATTAAACTAATGACATTATGTCGAATTTTGTTTTTGTAGTAGGACAGCAAAATTTGAAAATCTCGTGCGGTGATCATAATTATGAAAGATTTGCGGTTCGTATAGTTTTAATACCAACGGGGACCCTTTAGCAAGAGAAGAAAACCTGTAAATAACCATTAGTGGATCAATTTATTTATTAAATAAAGCAATAAATGTGCTTTAACATGTACAATAATTTACTTATCATGTACAGGTACAGGTACAGAAACAGACATAGCGCAGTCTATAAATAAAATAAAAATACAGAAAACATATAGGTACTTGTCGAGGAGTATCTCAATTCTCTTATCTACATTAATCAGCACAGAGCAGCTTGTTAAAACTAGTGGAAATAGAAATTACCGCAACCAATAGTTTTGTTTGCTTGTCAGTATAACTTATTAGTCTAATCTTAAGAAACGTATTTTTTCTCATGTCGTAAGCTCACGGTTTTAAAGATCTGTAAACTTCTGTCATGTTATTGTACAATTATTACAACCTTCTTGGTATGTAGCCAAAACTACCATCTAAAAATGTGATCCAATTCTAAATCTATGATATCTTACCAGTATCCGCCTAGTCAGCCTCAATTTTATTTGAAGTTGGCGCAGTGTTAGCTAGTTTATTTTAGAGGTGGCTGCTTGTCTGACAGCACTCTTCTTGAAAATGTAATCATTTTCAAACAGGATTAAGAGAGAAGGTAAATTGTGTGACGGAAACTAGATTAAGGGAGAGAAAGAGAGAGAGACTGAGACTAGGGCAGATCGAAGAGGCCACGGAAATGTTCTCGTTTGTCCATTTTGTAATTGAAAAGGCCTCTAGGACAGGGACAACAACTGGTCTAATCTATGAAATCTTAATAGTAAGTAATATACAAGGTTAATATCTCACACTTAATGAAACATATTTCCCACGACAGTACAAAAAATAATGTACGATTGCCTTCACCATTTATAGGAAGGTGAACCTGAATGATAAACAGAGAAAAACGCTTCTTTATTAGGGCATACATAAATAAAGAGAATTTAGACCGGCGCGAAAAGCAAAATACAATGCATTGTGAATTATCTTTTCTTTTTTGTGTTTTGGTTGTTTCATGTGTCATTATTGTGAGCGTTGCAACTTTACAACAATAATATGAATACTTGGATTTTGTCTATTTGTAAATACATTTTACTCAGAAATAAATATATAGACCGATGCAAATCGAAATATTCATATATTTAGATATTTGCGTAACTTCTAACGTTGTAGAATGCACACTTTTATGATGCGACGGATCATAAAAGTGACTATTAATATTTCGCAGACATGAAATGTATGTTACACAATAGCTTTTTATATTTTTTGTTACGACCAAGATGAACTAAGTGGTATAGCAATTGGCATCTCAGACCGTTTTCGAGCTTCGGTCAATCACCTCTGATATTTTAAGCTTGTGCACGCATTAGAAATTAATTATCATTTACTTAAATGGTCAAGGAAAACATCTTCTAGAAACCTTTGAAAGTTCTTCATAATGTTATCAATAGTACGAAGTGTGAAATTTGCTAATCTTCATTATGCTAATTTAGCCAACTTTTGCCTAAGCCTATTAGAGAGGAATGAAATGATGATACGAATTAATATTTTAAATCTTTAACTAATCTTGTGAAAAAATCTAGAAACTAATTCCGAGAAGTGTATTCCTTGTATAATCCTGGGAGGGCCATGCTTCGGCACAATCGGGCCAGCCTCGACCAGAGTGATGAGGATGATTTTTATGAGGCCGTGGTGGCCTCATAAAAATCCGATGTTAAGGGCTAAAAGGGCGCAACGCACTTGTGATTCTTCAGTTTTGGTGTCCATGGGTGGTGGTAGTCACCTACCATCAGGGACCCATCTGCTCGTTTGACCCCTAAATTTTTAAAAAAGTTTACAAGCCTCGCAGAGCTTTCCACTTGAAAGGATATATCATTGCTTGTGGATGATTTTCATGACTAACGACACAAAGATCTTAAAAATCCTAATTTAAGAATTGAAATAAACTAAAAATATTTGAATCATTGTTATTACGTCACGTTATATTTAAGGATTGTCTCACCAATGATTAATTTTATTTCTTACAGAAATAGAGCTGAAGAAAATATGGGGGAATACTGCCAACTTTCTTACTTCCTTGACCTTCGCGCGTCGATCGAACATATTTTAACTTTCGTGTGTATCAATGTAATAATTAAATGACCAAATTATTTATCTTTCAGTTTACGATGAAGAAGGAAATCTAGTGAAGACGTATTCTAATCATTATCTTCAAAATCTTAGATTAAACGCAGGTCTGCCAATTTATGGAAACTTTTTAAACCCGTTCTTCGGGTTCATTAAAGTAAGTATTACGTACAACCTATTTACTAAATAAAAATTGAAAAAGCGCCAGTAACAAAGTTTTTGTACAAATCAAAAAAATTGTTGATATGAAATATTTATTCTACGTTTCCTTGAAATTAAAAAAAAAAACTTCTTAATCAACGCAATATAAAAAAATCAAAACCACTCTGGCCATACCGAGGGCCCTTAAGCCTACAAGCAAAGCAAATCCCATTAATAATTTTAAAAACGCAAAACCAGTATGATAACATTTCTTCTTCTATTAATGCGTAGATTATATATTTTTTATGTTTATACTTCATAGATCAGAATCAAATCCCGTTTCGTTTAGCACCGTTTAGATTATGCTAATGCCTCTGTACAATTCTCTTGGTCCTAGATGTTTTTGAGTATTCCGCTTTTTCACGTAGTTAACAAATATGATGTAGGTGACACACAGACAGGTGGTATCCGAGGGGCTTTCCGCAGGGAAAAAAAAAAAAAAAAAAAAAAAGGTGTCACTTTAAATAAGATAAATGTATTCAAACTAATAATAGAGCCATACTCTCAAATTCTTCATTTACATTATCGCTATGTGAAATCTTTAAGAAATACTATTGAGAAATACTGTTAACATTATTGACATTACATAACATTATTATTATATTTAATTGATCTGGTAAAACAACTTAATAATAAGCAACCAGGTATACATATGGAATAATATTACGTTACTTAAAATTGTCTTGGAAAATGAAATGTAATAAATTATTACTTAAAGTTCCTGAGATTTGTGAAATCTACCAAATGACATAATGGATAATCCTTGATAATATTGACCAAATAAAATAAATTGCATCCTAGATTAACAGACATGATAAAACTAAAGTTATAACAGCTTTACTTATTTTTCCAGGATTTTGGCAGTATGTTTGCATTTACAGTTCCAGTATCAAACGAAGTTATACAACAAATAAACAAAGACCCTCAATATCACAACCAGCTCATGGTGGCACCTGTGAAGGAGCCGGTCATAGTGCCGAACCGTCTGTGCGAAGGCAGAAGAGCACAAATACCCTCACCAAACTTCTGTAATAATTATTTGAATTGCTGGGATGGATGGGCGGTGGAACAAGAGTGCCCTAAAGGATTGCTGTTTTCTAACAAGGGTTACTGTGATTATTCGGATAATGTCAATTGTGAAGCCAGAAAACTAAGTAAGTTTTTTAATTTTATAAATGCGAAAGTGTGTCAATCGGTCTATCTGTCTGTAACCTCTTCATACATACGCTAGGAGGGAATCGAGTCCCACCTGCCCCCACTGCGACTGCAGTGAGGATTCGGCCCAGCACACGCTGGCGGTTTGCCCCGCATGGGCGACGCAGCGCCGGGCCCTCACTGCAGTCATCGGAGCAGATCTCTCGCTACCGGCCGTAATTCGGTCCATGCCCGGTAGCGACAGTTGTTTTACCGCGGTCGCAACCTTCTGCGAGGAGGTAATCTCGCAGAAGGAGGTGGCGGAGAAGGCCCGGGAGGACGACCTCCACTCGGACCTGATCCGCCGCCGACGAACCGGGAGGCGGAGGCGCGCTTACCTGCGCCTGAGTGTGGCCTCGGGTGGACGGGATGGGTTTTCCCCTCCACCCGCATTAGTTGGCCAGCCGCGAGGGAGCGGCGTCCGCGTGTGCCGGACGTCGCCTAAAGAGAGGAAAAATTTTGAGACGGAGCCCGCAACAGGAGCGGGCCAGCGCTGGGAGGGGTCACACCGTGTGGTTTTAGTCGGTTCGAGTCCGACACACCGCCCCGCCAAACGAGAGCCCCGGCGGGGTGACGGTCCGAGGGGATTTCCACACGTTAAAAAAAAAAAGGGTTTATTTCATAAATCGTTTTGAAGGGGGTTGGAAGGGGAGTAAATGTTTGTATGGGAAGTCAATAACCGCTAAACAGATTCAGATGAAACTACTCGTATAGAGACAGTTTGATTCTTTAGGAAGGACATAGGCTTTACCGCGATATTATAAAGGCAAAAGTAGCTCCATCTGTTACGCTTTCAAGACTAAACCGCTAAACAGATTTTGATGAAATTTGGCATGGAGATACTTTGATTGTTGATGATACGTGATAACCAACATAGACAAGGGCGGAGCCGACGGTAAGAGCTACTAATTAGTATAAATGGAAGAAAGTTTTAGTTACACGTCGTGCTACTTGAATTGCATGCATCGTGTTTATGAGTCAGTCAGTGAACAAGATAGATAGATAGAAGCTTAGTCTTCAAACCTACAGAAATCAGTTCTTTTGCAATAACACCTCTCTAAATTTGAATATTAGTATTTTGTTAACATATTCAGTAATCATGTTCTCAGAGGTAGAAAAAAGTATAAGTATAATGCTAAACGAAATTAAGAAGAACGTGGACGTGGGTGAGCCATGGCTTTTGGCTGATTCGAATGGAGAGAGTGTTGTGGATTCGATCCCCACATGGGACACCACTTTGTGTGATCCCCAAATTGTTGTTCTAAATATGGGTGATCTTTGTGTCCGTTTCCGGTATTTTTGTAAAGTCCCCCGCGATATAGGATATGTTGTCTTTTTTAAAGAAAAAAAGAAAAGTGATACCGTGGCTTCTCACGAAACCGGTGTTAAGTAATTCTTTCGTTGTATTTCACCGAGTGGGTGAAGATAGAACAACCCTTTCCTAACTTTGGGGTTCCACTCAAAGAAAGGCAACAAACACCGTCATATTTATATATGGAGGTGTACATGAGTGGTGGTGGTCATTTATATACCAGTGGACGTACTGCCCCCATGGTACAGTGGTAGCGTATGCAGTTCAATTCTCGGGTCGGACCGAATGTTTGTAAGCTCTGCAAATATTTGTTTAAGAGTTTGTAGGTTACCCCAGAGTTCTTCGGTAGCGTTGAGAAAAGAAACATCAGCATAGTTAAGAAGGGGAAGAAGAAGGGATTGAGAGAGGAGGACTTTAGTCTGAAAAGTAAGAAAATTTTGAAGACGTTTGAGAGAGTGATATGTTCCAAAAACAATTCTACTCTCTACTCTCTTCTACTTCTGTAATGTGCGTGGTCCATGACATGTTGCAGTCCATAAAAATCAAGAGATTTTATACTTGTGTCGAATATGGTATAACAGTCTTGTTATAGGACACTGGAAGAAGTGAAGTGTGATCAAGGCTATTATACATGTACCTGCCACTATACCATAAAAAGACAGAGTAAGAAATTGTATGCGTGGAAGATTAGATGAGTACGATGCGATTTCTGATGATGTTTTGTGTTCTATAATTGAGAAGAAATTAATTCAGGAAATGTCAAACAAGTTATACGAGAAACTTGTTTAGTTTGACATAGTTACACAATATGCGATGACCTTTATAATTTTATGTTCACGTATACAAAGTAAAGAGAAATCTATGCTTGCATTAAGAAATCTTCAACGGCATTTTCTATAGATACAGTCAGACTTAAAACGTATACGTGAACAAAGTTTCATTAGGTTCAAAATATGGTGAGTAATTAATTATAGTGACAAAATACAGTATACTTAATTATCGAATTGATTACAATATTTAGGCGAAATGGATGAAGGCATTATAATGGAACTTTGTACCCACTTACACAGTGGCGGATTAGCCACGTAGCAAGAGTAGCAAATGCTACGGGCCCCGCGCATTTGGGGGCCCCCGCTCTTTCTGACCGTAAAAAAGTATCTACTTACTCGTATTTCGATCGGAGTGTGAAAATATTTTTTCAAATAAATAAAGCCAAAATTCTTATCACGAAAGAGTTGCATCTAAATGTCAAACAATAATTTGACGGGCCTGTTGGTTTAGTGGTTAGTGAGCCTGCTAAGCCAGAGGTCGTGGGTTTGATTCCCACCCAGGACAAATAATTGTGTGATAAGTACGATGATTTGTTCTGTGTCTGGGTGTAATTTATCTATAATATGTATATATTGAGTAATATACGAGTATAAGTATGTTTATCAGCAGTCTGGTTGGAATAGTACAGGCTCTGCCTAGTTAGAAAACATACAGCCGTGTGTGTGATGTGTTAAGTAAAAAATTTAAAGTTTTAGTACATTTCTAAAATTATGTTTTGCACTGCGACCCAACGCTGCGTGTGACGCCTAAGCCAAGCAAATTGCCCGCGTGTGATGAGCCGCATCCTCACTGCAATCGGAGTGATGACAGGCGGGATTCAATTCCCTCCTATCGAACGATTGCAGAATCAGCCGTACCCAGAAAGAACCTGCTCTGCTCTGGACGCTCTACCCACTCAACGATTGGCCTCAACTACTACTACTACAACTATGCCGGGCGGTCAGAACTGCCGTCCACACAGGGGCACCGTACAGTGCCATTGACTGGACAGCCCCTGTACAGCTGTCTTGAAACGATGCTGGTTGGGCAAAAGCCACTTAAGAGCAGACGCAGTGCCGACCAGTTTTAGGGTAAGCTGTCGGGAGTGCTCATCGAAGAGCCATCTCCCGTCAGGTATCAGGTCCATATCCTTCATCTGGGCCTGAACCGGTACGTTGACCAAGATGACCACGATTGAGGCGCCAGGGAGTGGACTAACCTAAAACAACCTATGGGGCCCTTGGTAGAATTTGCTACAGGCCCCGCGCTGTCTTAATCCGGCACTGCACTTACATGTTTTTGAGGCTGACTGCACATGAGTACAATGACACAAATTACAAAATTTTCCTACGTTTACGTTGTATCGTTTTCTTTTTTGTGCTTTTTTCCATAAGTTCTCGCACCTCCGAAATGTGATTTTTAATTTGGCCATGTCGGAGCGGTAACTGAAGAGTGAAGTGTGCAACGTAAGTTTGCCATTTGCTAAACATTGAGGAGCCTATATCGAGAAGAGCGCTGTCAAGTATGCTAAGCAAATAGAGAATAGTTCCCGGTGAACATATGCATTACTTGGTATTCGAAACATGGTCTTGACACGTTCTAGTTCACAAATTAAATTATGATTAAAATTGATTGTAATTTTACGTGCATTATTGTGCTGTCGGTACCTTCTCTTTTTTTCCAATGGATCCGTTTATGAAATAAAAGTATACACACGGTGACTTTTGATCGTTTTAATCATGTTTATACATACATAAAACAGTATCGATTTGTGTTGATAAAATTACTTTTTCTTATTAATTCGAAACAGTTCTTGCTTTAGTGAAAAAAACTAACCATAGACGGCGCGCACGCACGCCACGGAGGTAAGTACCTAACTCGTGGCGCTACTACTGTTTTCATATACCTTGCGATTATTACATTATCAAACCCCATTTTTTTTAATTTTAGGGATATAATGCAGAATTTGTAAGTTAAACCACCTGTTTACGGGATTAAAATGATGAAAAATAACTGTATATTCACCTACTTTCAAATTTGAATTTGTTGTTACTTTGATGATACTAATTATCAACAATTTTCAGTTTTTAGATTTTTTCCTTTATATAAGCTTTGTATATGTTTCTAGGTCATCTAGAAGTGGGTTAGGTTTTTGATCTTAAGTCAGTGAGTGATTCAGACATAAAAATGCCGGTTTTTAAACGTTAATATATCAATAACTGTTGGAGCAAAATTCATGAAATGAGACATGCCAAGGATCTTTACTAAATGTGCCAAATTTTATATATATAGGTTAAATAGTTTTCGAATTGTGAAGGGGTCAGAAGTAGTTAGAAATGGTTCGTGTAATATTACACATGGCTGCTGCGTCGCCAGTTCCTTTGCTTTGAACTTGGCTGGACACGGTCTCGCGTGTCTAGATATGATTTTCTGTTTGTAGGAGAACAACCATCAACGCAGCCTCGATGCAACAAGGATTTCGAGACGTTCAGGAACCAGTTGGACTGTAACGAGTTCTTCGTGTGTGTCAACAGACAGCCCGTAAAATTCAAGTGTCCAGCCGACCTCGCGTACAGTCAGGTATCTTCCGCATAGCAACAATTTTGACCGAGTGAACGTCGTAATTTCTTTAGTTGTTAGTCAGTTTTGTAACATTGAACAACAAGTAGGTATGCCTGGTACTGGGATTGTCTTCAGTAAAGCTATTATTTAAAGATGAAGATGAATGATAAGAAAAGCTGCAATACATGATAAATTTACTTCCAAATTTACAATACTTGTATTAAGACACAAAGCCAATTTAGACAAAAGCATGTTGAAATAAATAAGTTGCTTCAGAGAAATAAGATTACTGTACTTTGCACAGAGCTTATGTCTTAAGGTTGGATGTCATGAATAATATTGAAGTGATTCTGATCATATCAATGTAGATTTATTCCAGGATACATTTTATTTCTTATTCGATAATATTTTCATTGTTAGGCGTGATCACCCGTTTAGGCGTGAACGTGACAGTAATTTTTGGGGTTACAATAAAACTATAGTGGGTTACTTAGTCTTTCTAATTGGCACTACGAGTGTAATGTGGCAGGATTAAATTGCATAGCGCTAGCCTTAAAATATTTTTATAAAACTTGTATTATATATAATGTCGTTTAAAAGCAAGGTCGTTGTGCTATTTTTATTTTAGCATGTTTGTCTGACTACGCAGAGTTTAAATGTAATGGTTGAGGATAATTCATACTTTATAACGATAAAATGCAAGAATCAATACATAGATGTTGTTTTATCCCGTAATGTGAGTCAGCAATAAAAAAATTCTAAGCAATTTTAACTACATATAAATGTAGTGGAAGACAAATTGCTAATGTATTTTAATTTGGCGTGGTTAAAAACAGACAAGCCATATTGTTACTACCGACACAATATGACGTCACAGATTGTTATTATTTATAAGAGAAACAAATTAAACTACACAATTTTACTGTTGGTCTTCATACTGGTTTATATATTTTCAGCATCTTGGAGTATGCGATTACCCAGCTCATGTCGACTGCTCATCCTCAGCCGTCAACACAGAAATATTTAACTCCCCACCGTCGTCTCCTGGACTTGCGGCACCAACTATTCCTCCACCTTCACCACCACTATCGGATCCTGTGGCGCCACCTAGCCTTGTTTCGCCTGCTGTGACTGATGTACCATCTGCGACCATCATTCCTTCTAAACCAACTAAACCTTCAATGCCCGACAACCCACCAGCTTCTTCTCAGCCCTCATTACCCATTATTCCCGCAGGATCTCTAATATCTCCAATGCCTTTCCTACCTGCTGCCATAAAGCCTGATGATGTCAAAACCGTTTTAACAGAAAACTCTATAGTAAACACGCAAAGTAAGTACTTAAACTGCCTATTAATGCTATTTAGTCATAGTGATTGCTGAATTTTGATAAAATCAAGTTAACTTAATATAAAATAAGAAAAGCAAATAACAGTGGAACACACTTCAGGTAAATTAAAAATATATAAAAATCTAGAGACTTTAATAAAGTGTGCTGTTTTTAACATTTTGGCTTAAATATATTTTTAATGAGTGAGCAATCTAACATATTTTTGGAAATAATAAGACGCAGTATCCCATACACGCCTAAAAACAAAGCCCAGGACGGAATGACTCTGTCCCGTTCTATGATAAAATTGGCCTTAGATAGGTTAAGATAAAATATCGTTTAAATAGGCTCAACACATCACAACGAAATGTAAGTCATTGTATTTGGTTCATTGCATTGTAATTATTAAATCTTTTCTAATTGCTGCAAAAACTTGTATGGATGGATAGATGGGTGATAGTTACTCTTTAAAAATAGCTAAAGCAGTTTAAATGAAATTTAGCGCACAGATACTTTATGACCTGAAGAAATACACAAGAAACTCTACATCATGTTTCATCAGTTTTCACAATTACGACTTATTACTTATCATATTTTTTGGTTAATCAAAATATATCATCATCATCAACAGCCCTTAACAGTCTACTGCTAGACATAGGCCTCTCCTTACAATGGAGATTTTGGCCTACTATACCAGGTATATTTAGTAGTGTGTACAGTTTTCTACCTTAGTCGCCTCTTACGACACCCGCGGGATGAATAGGCTTGGTGATTCTGTATTCTTAATCCGTCACCACACGGTAACAAAATATATCAATATTTTGCAAACAATATAGACCTTTGTTTAATTTTTGTGACAAAAATATTCACATAGATATTTTCATGCGACTTTTTTAAATTACTGTTTGTTTTTAAGGTAATATAATACAAAATAGCACTTTACACAAAGAATAAAGATTGCTCAAGATTATAAACGCTAACGCTGCGGCGCTGTCAAAAACATTTGAAGTTTGAAATGGTTATAACCAGTAATACTTAAAAGAGAAGCATACCTGAAAAATAGAGAGTTAGAAAGAGATAGTGCTTTTGTACTTAGCATCAAAAATTACTGATTTAGTCTGGAATACAGACGAGCTTGAAAACTCTTATTTGACCAACTGAGCTATTGTGAGTACGTACGTCATTAAGTTAAGGGTCATTTACCTTTCATAGCAGATCTTGTTTCCTGATTTAATTTTATAAAATAAAAGGTCCAATAATGTGTCATTGTCCTACCATGTCATTAGTATGCTGTACCTGCCACTGTAACTCTACATAGAGGCCAAACAGACTTGTGGTTAATAACTAAATTTAAATCACTTGGTTCTAATGCATAAAACAGAAAGGTTTATCACTAGTGATTATAACACGTTATATTTTCTAATACTACGTCATTGCTAATACTGAGATTTGTGGGGCATTAATACTTAACTCTTGTTTTTGAAGTAAGTTCTTAGTAACTATTTAAAAAGCAAGAGCTTTTTTTCAAACTGTTCTACTTCACGTAATTTTAACAATGATTGAATACAATTAAAATTACATTATCAGTATGAAAAGGGACTCAATCGCGATTGTACTCATAAAATACGATAAAAAAATATTACTTAAAGTTTCGGCAGAATTGCACCGGTCGTGATCACGGGTGAATTTCTCTCATATCGCAGAAGACAACTCCCTATAGTTTCAAAAAAATTAAACTATTTAAAAATCCTCGTCGGTCTAAAATTGTGCGAAATGATATTTATACAGAAGAGCTCATTTAGTCTAGTTGTTTAAAGAAGTAATTGATTCTAGATTTTTTATTTGCGAAACTGACCACAAACTTAAAATTCATTGCGTAAGAAATTATAACTATACTGTAGCGCCATATCAGTACGTAGCTACCGGCTTTTCTCATAAAATTTAGTTTTGAAAATGAATCAATTAACACCTTACATGTAACTGTAAGTGTAGGTGAAGGTGTAACTGTAAGTGTAGGACGCCCACAGGCCAGGTGGAGTGACGATTTGCCCAAGATGGCTGGCAGGAGCTGGATGCGAGAAGCCCAAAATCGATCTATAGGGATCTATATATCATGCAATGGGAGAGGCCTATGTCCAGTAGTGGACTGCGATAGGCTGATGATGATGATGATGATGTAACTGTTTAAATTATTACAAAAAATGAGTCTTACTTCTTAATATTTCTCAACCCTAGTTTCGCCTACTTAATATTAAATAACAAAAGTGAAGAAAATTACCGAGACGTAATACATTTAACCCCAAAACTACATTTTAAAGTAATAACGGTCGTCTAGTCTAGACTGTTATTACAGCTATTAAACCATTGCTCAACACTATTTTTGTAACAATAATATAGTTTTTATGCGTTTCGTTGGTTTTCCTATTGTCTTTGTATTGTTGTACTCATTTTTCTTTTAATTTCAGGCTGGACTTCTACACACATAGCAACGTCTCTTGAAGATGCTATAAATCAACTTAAACACAGAAACATTATGAAATCCAACGTTTAATTGTCGAATTATGTAATAGCTATATTTTAAAATATATATAAGGTTATCTTACTTAAAGTCAAAGGTGCGATAATTTCATAACCGTATTAGGTAAGACCCCATTTCCTAATTGAGTTATTTCTATAGCTAAAAATAACCCCGTAAAGTTCTACTTCTACAACTGTCAGCTTTGTTTCTGACGTTTGCCTTACCACATTCACACGGTTGCTGATGACCCCATGGTTAGTTCAATAGTTAGGAACGCAGCAGATAGATTCTTAAAGTTCAACGTCTTCTGTTATTATTTTAATAAAGTGCTAAATCTTTGAAAACCAAGTTAAACCCAAACTAGGAGCTAGGCGTTTACTAAGCCTCGTATTTGACACTTTTTTCTTTTTTATATACTTCTTAAATTTACTCTTTAATCAACTACTACCTTGTTTAATATGTTTCGTTTACTTTAACTAGTGAAACAGGCAGTTTGCTGGTTTACTTAAATTAAGTAAAATTCTTATAAGGCCTCTTGCGTATATATTAACATACTTGTCTAAGTAATATTTTGCAAATTGCATTTATAAACTGTCTACGATTGCAAAATAAATGGTCGTACACCTAGTACGTTCGTTTCGCTTTGTTTAATATGAATGTATATCTTAATTAATCCTACTACTTTGGATTTAGTTTATTTAAGCATTTCACTAAATAAAGATTATTTAAAAGATAATCTTGTATTACTTATCTTGTTATGAGTTAATTACTTATGTAATTAAAAAGGTTTCGAGGCTTGATTTTAAAAATGAGAGCTAAACAAACTATGTAGTTGCAATCTGTATAACACATCATACTAATTGCATGTCTTTTTAAAATCACAATGTGTCTTTTAAAAACCATACAGAGGGGTGTTTTGTTAGTGAAGAGTGTCCTTTATTAAATAAAAAGAGTAAATGGATTTAAAATAAAATAAAAGCTATTTATAAAAATAAGGTTTATTTACAAAATTATTATTAAAATATAAACGTTACTAAACTTAACTTAAATAAGTGGTATGACTAAGAACAATTTCGACAGAGCACCAGCACGCCGTGTTGGTGCTATGTCAAGGTTTCTGTTTTTTTTTTAATTTGGCATCAATTGATTTGGGAACAAAAACATACCAAAATGTTTGTATTGGCTTCACTCTGAAGTCCATGCCATAGAGATACTACCGACCGCCTCTTCAGATAGACAAAATCATTTAATTTCTCATGATTAAGACATTTTCAGAAAACAATATTAAATTGTTATCCTATTAAGGTTATTCAATATTCAATTAGAATGTAATTTACTAACAATTTTCTACGCCAAAAATTGCATGAAGCTTGTGAAGCTCTAAAAATTAAAAAAAAACAAGCCAACTCCAACTATTCATTAGCTATTCCCTATTAAAAACCCAACACAAAATCTACTCTCTCAATTTTTTGATAAGCATTTTTCAATGTTGTGATGTTTGTTAAATTTAGAAAGTGATAGATATTTAATAGTTAACTCTAAAGTATATTTCTGAAGAGGCGATATGTATTTATACCCAACCTCAGCGACTCAAAGGTTGGGCAATTTTTAGATCAAGTAGATAGGGTTAAGCTTCAGTCTGTCCTTGGAGTCACTCTTCATTATTCAGTATCCCAACTTCTTCAAAGCTTTGAGGTCCACATCTCCGTAGTAATCTTCGCTGTAATATCATCATAAAATGAATCACTAAATGTTTTACGTTTTTTGTTAAGTAATTTAGTTTGAACAACATTAGAATAAGTTATCTATAAAGGCACAGCTATAAATTTAATTTCTTTCTATGTTTACAAAATTATCTTTGACATTTCAACACTAAATCACATTTTTTCTTGGATAGTTTTTTACTGTTTTGATACATTTGATGTTGTTCTGAGTTCATAAACTATTCAACGTCAATTATTGATTTGTTAATAAGTTGTAATGTCTCACGTTTATTTTGCACTCAAAACTTTTAGGCAAAATATATATCATATAACGTTTAATTAAAGAAAAGGAAATAAAAGTCGCAATTGTTTTAAAGAAGCTATTAATAACATGTACAATCTAGTTTCATACGTTTTTAACTAGACTAATGTTTAAAAGTTATGTGAATACTTTTGATAAATCTAAAACAATTGCAGCAATTATTATGTTTATAAGAAACAAACTCACCTGTGACACAGTCTGACGTTAAAAAATATATTACCTTGGGTACCTGGAGTCCCAAGAAGGGCAGTTGTTGTTACTGTCATTATTATGAATGATTAAACAGAAAAGATTCACTAAAAGAACCAAGAAAAAAATAAAATGTTAATCATAAAGGTGAATGTATTAAAATAGGCAATAGTGTGATTGTGAAAAGAAAGTGTTAGGAATATAGTGCTTTAGTGCTTTGCTACAAATACAGGAAATTAATACAACATAAGTTAATTTTTATAAATTTTTGTTTATTTTTTCACTAAAAATAAAACTTAAGTATTACAGTTTCTATCAAACAACAACACACAGTCACAGCGAAGTAAATCAGTACATATATTTACAGAATGATGATGTTAAACAACGATACAATAATCGATTCTCAATGGAAGTCAAATTCTTACTGGGTTAAAAACAGAACTACAAAGTTATAAATGCGAAACGACTTATTTTTTAAATAGTTTCGTTCCTATTTACAACTTAAACCGGTATTACCGATATCTATATTAATGCATGGGCTTTATAAATACTTAGATACAATGTTATAATAAATATATCTATCGCTGTATGGTTTTACTAATTTCCTAACGTGCCTCATGAAACTGTTGGAAGAAGCTACAACGAGAAATTATTTGGCAACTAGAAGTGATACATATCAACTGTCACTCACTAATATTTTTGAAACCTGGAACATATCCCAGCACACTACAAGTAACTTTTTAACTTATTGAATGTATACGTACTTAAGGCCGTATTGACACTTTATTTGTTGCTCATAGTGCGTAGAGATTTCGAGTAAAAACTATGTGAGTATTAAAAGGTTAAAGGGTGGGGAATTTTGTTTAGTTCTCCTTTTGGGGGCGGGGTTTGAGTTGCTTGTTCTGGAAGGGGCGGTTCACGCCGTCTTGGTTGAGGCCGGCTAACAGCTCGCTCTTGCGGATCGTCTTCAGATCCAGATCGCCGTAGTAGTCCTCGCTGAAAATGTACGGGTACCTTACTACCTGCCTCGTCTACTAACTAGCCTTAATTCTACGTTTTATTGCCTATAATATCGACGAGTAGCTTGAACATAAATGGCTATCTCAATTTCTAGCAACTTTTACTACGCGAGTGGCAACTGGTTACGAGAATTGTGTAATATATACTTGTTTACGAGTATAGCTGGCGTTAAAGAGTGAACCGCCTTGAAACGACGACAAGAATGATATCCGTTAGCTTTTCCAACTAATGTGTTACGAGTATAATAATATAGCATTTGTTTTCTCAGAAGACAATTATGTGATTCGGAGCACTCGCAAAAAGCTTATCGACAAGACAACCGGTCAGAACGACCTTCATGTAGCTACACCGAGACCGGCGGACGCGCATCTTAACGATCTAGCAGCGATTGTTCCACGCTCATGGAATATGTAGTTTATAAACGTTTTGAAAGTTGGACCATTGTTCCATTTCACGTTTGACATAAAATTTACTTTCATTTTAGAACCATACAATACGATAAATATTACCACACGAGAGCAAAATTATGACGCAACTTCAAACGTATAATTTGTAATTACTGTGTGTCTGTGCCAGTTACTTGCATTCATAACATTTCCTCTTTTAATGAAAGGCATTGATAATTTAACCTTTGTGTAGCCAGCTACGGTCGAAACGGAGATATACTTGTATGGGTCATTACCATACAGTCCGTTATGTATCAGTCGGCATTGATCACGGTCGTCCGCGCATAACACACTATAGCGAGCGAACTATTTCACTCTAAGTCATGTTAATTTCTAAGTGTGTCCTAAATGTCGCAAGCGTGCAAGGCTCCGGACCGCATAGCTTCGATCAACTGTTCGACTCGGCGAGTTCAACTACATGTCCCACCTATGTCTACCTATACATGTCTGTCTAGTTATACAATACTATTCAATCGTTCACTATGTAGCTAAAACATGGAGTGCAAACGATCTGTGTAGGTGTTATGTTTCATTATTTTGTGCAAGAAGAATTTGTTAGTCACAAGGACGAAGTTGGTTGTGTGGAAGTGGTTATTGGGTCTTTGGGTATTGTGACACCAAGAACATATATAGTATCAGTATGAGATAAGAATGTGTCACTGAAACGAATATACCAAATATTTAATTATGAATTTCTTGGAGTCACACGAGTAAGTTCTAGGTACTAATGGTTAATGTACCATACAAGACGCCGGCGATCACCACAGAACCAGTATGCTCAACCAGTGAGTAGAAGAGACCTAAAGTTGCGTTCAAGCTGCTGTCATAATAGCTTTACTTGAACTGTGTTTACAGTACATTCGCATTCAATAGCTTATCATACCAAGAAAAATGTAACTAAATAAAGTTATGAGGTTCTGATGAACTATATTGAAAGCGAGTATCCGTGTATGTATAAAATATGTACATAACATTTAACAATGGAACTTACCATCCGGGAACATCTTCGGGGTCTTCGCAGTTGCCAGAGCCGTCAGAATCGCCAATCTTGAACACGGTACCGATGGGACAACCGTACTCGCGAGCTACTCCTTCCATACAGATGTAGTATTTTCGGCAGTCTTCAGGGTGGGCGTGACGGCTGAAGGATCCAGCGTTTGATAATTGACCGGGAGCAGGGCAAGAGAAACCGTTCGCTACTTCTGGGAAACACCAAAAAAGGTTACGTGAGCCAAGAGGGAGAAGGCGAAACCAATATTTAACAGCGACAGCAGTGTTCTAGTCAGAGGTAGAGCTTCTGAAAGTTGTTCGAGTAAAAAGATGTTATGTGCTTGAGTTCGTACATCTAGATGCTTGATATTATAGAAGTACTTTACCTTAGCAGAGTAGATAATACACGTAAACCTTGAAGGAGTTCTGTAAATACTAGAAGATTCGATTACATTCTCAAGAATTGAAGATTTGCGGTTGGCACTTATCAGTGTCAAGATATCACAAATCTAGAACAAGGAGACCGACAGCGGTGCTATATAGATTAAGTTACATTATATTCTAAACTAGTGACGTACCTTCGACTTTGCACTCTGGAACCTGGTCAGCCCACATGCACACGCGAGATTCTCTGTCGTAAGCGAGTCCGGGGCTGCATTGGTACCGGGAAGCCTCGCCGTTCCAGCAGTTCCAGAAGACGTCACATTTGGCTTCATCAGCAAAGATACCGTACAGCCGTTGGCAGTGAGGGGTGGAAATTGGAGGCTCTGCAGAAATGATTCAAAGATTACAAAAATTGAAAACAGTGGTTATTTTTTTTTAATTATGCTAAAGACTACATACGAGTAATAGTGATCCTAAAGCCGAGCTATATATATATGTCACAAAAGTTTTTCAATTAGGATTAGGAAAATGGTTACAACTTTTTTCACCTTTGAACACTTGTACCTAATTCTCAGAATGTCATTTGTTATTAATGTTGGTTTGAAAAAATAATGGCTAATCTATTTAATTTAATTTTATAAGCGTTCAATCTAAACTCGGCAAAAATGTTTCAAATACTTAGAAAATAAAATCTACAAACAAAAATGTTCATCTAAATCATATTAACAAACTTGCTCTAGTTCAAGGCTAGCAGACTTGAGGAGGATATAATTATCTATATACGAACGCTTTGCATGTAAGTTGAATACCTAAAGATATATTTAGATATTCATAGTGTAAGTTTCCAAGCTGTAATACTGGCCTAATGACCTTTATGACATCCTGGTTGCGGTAGGTATTCTGAATAATATTATCATTTTATTATCCTGTATAACACGGTGTGACATAGCAAAAAATGGCCATGACTGATCAGGTTACTTACTCATTTTTTGTAATGCTTTTGATTTCTATAAGTCTTTCAGTGGAAACAGAAGAGCACGCCGTTTGGTGCATTATTAGGTGTATCAAAACACAAAGAACATGTGACTTAATTTTTTAAGAACGTTGAGCAGTTACAACTAAATATCATTATCATTACCAAGTCATCTGATATAATCTATAATTTCATAAAGTATATACCGTATTACTATGCCAAGTTGACATGTTTTTTGTGAATTGTATTTTCTTACCAAGCTGTGATCTGTCGCCACACTCGACATTGTGTAGGTAGTCGCAGTTCTCAGTCAGGTATTTGCTGTCGGTGGCGTCGAATGCTAGACCGTTACCACAGGTCTTTAATTCGGCAACACCGTTGTCACACTTCCAGTACTTATCACAGGAGATGTGGTGAGGGTAGAAACCGAAGTCATCCGGGCATTTGAAGGATTCTTGGGCGACCGCTGTAAGAAAAAAAACATTCTCAAATTCTGTTGCTCAGAATCTTAGTAGATTTAGAATTATTCGTATATTTGTTCCTAAATATCGTTTTAGTAATTAATTTAAATGGTATAAGAGCTCAATATCTTACTAGCTACAACATGAACTAAAAAGGTTTTGATAAACTATGGATATGGTGCGCAGCTAGTTTCGTAACTAGCCAGTCTCAGTAAGGAATCCCTAATTAAGCAACTACGCAGTTTCGACTTAAAATATAATCGTTTGAACACGATTTGCTTTGCTTTTGTTTCTATTGACACTTCATGAAATGGTTAGATTTTGTGACTAAATCACCATTAACAAATAATATTAGAAGGTGCTAGTTGCACAAACATCATATTTTGCTTTGCGTTAAGATACAGGAAAGATCCGTTATATGAAATGTATGACTTATTCTTTGACATAACCTGTCTTGGTCATTAAATGTTCTAGAAATAATAAAGTAAATGTTTAACATTCTAGAAAAAAAACACTGATATGTTTATGGGTGATTAATTTAAATTGTTGACACCTTATTTACGTAGTACTATAGTGTCTGCCCTGAATCGGTATTATGTCATTGATGTCAAAATATGCGTGTCACCTGCACGCGTTGACATTTGAAAGAGAAAAGCCCTCATCCGTGCAGTTTCGTAAGACGGTGATTACACTTGACAGTTCCTCGATTTGTTTAATTCCAATGGCAATAAGCCCATATAAGCAGTAGAATCCAAACGATCCAGAAAGGTTATGAAAGTTTAGTCGGACACAATCTTTTTTCTGAAGTGTTAGCAGCAGAAAAAAAATCGTTTTTTTTATTTCATCAATTGCCCTATAAGCATCACAGTAATTATTTTATCGCATAATTACGTCATATTATATCCGACAAAAAATTAAAACTGCACTTTATGTTTTCTGAAAGACGAGCGCGTAGACTTTTAAGGTTATTTTGTTCTTAAGATTGCAAAACAACCAGATTACATTCCATACTATAGAGAAGAAGCAGTCAAATCATTATAAATAAAGATCAAATATTAATAAAGCTAAAATTTTATCGATGTTAAGGTTAAATGGGTGATGCCGTTAAAAATGTTAATGTAGCCTTGAGTAACTTGAACTAAAAAGTTGTAGGTTAAACTCATCTGCATAAGCGTTCTCTGTGCAAACAACTTTTCTTGTTATAATCAAATGGTGATTTCGAGGTGAACCACAATGGTAGCGCGTGCCTTACATTCCTTAGTTAATAGCCAATGTAGTACTAAACTAGAGCGATTTCAATAATTCAAAATTTGGATCACTGCTCTTCGTGTCAGACTAGTTTTACGCCAATTACGTCGACTAATTAGATTATTGTTGCTTGATGACTATGATTTAAAATAGCTCATTAAGTTTTTAGTATCACGTAAACCTTACTTAAGCTATACTTACTCAAAATTAGGTAACTATTGCACTAGTATTATATTTTTAATAGTAAAATTATACATAATGCAATATTGTTCTAGAAAATAAGAGTAAATACATGTAAAGAGGTCTGATGTAATCTTTACAGCCTAAATTTTGTTGAATCGGCTGAAAAGGCTATTAATTTATCACAGTCTATTTCGTAGTGAAAATATAATGTGGGCCAGTTTTTTTTTCCATCTTTTAGAGGTTTTACTTCGCTTTCTTCTTATTCCATCTCTTTTCTATATCTTGTTTTCTCTTCATTGCCTTTTAGTCCTTAAAACTTACATACTGGCACACATCAAACAATGTTGTGTATATTTAATGATGACATTATATGTGTCTGTTAATTAAAAAAGAGTGACCGTAAGTTTGTTCGCCCTTTCTTCTCATAACACTCAACCCCTTGAAAACGAGCAGTTGTAGATAGGCACAGGCATATAATAGATCGTTACGTATATATTTAGTTTACTAAATATTTTACAAAACAGATATAGTTGCTATTGTGTGTGTTAATCTATGACTTTAGAAGCTACACAAGAAACAATTTCAAACATTTGTTTTATGAAATAGAGGTATTTTGAGTTTGACTTTCAAGTTTCTCTGCGCTTTTGTGTAACAAATTAGTGTCACCCAAGAGAACACGGGCATGGAACTGGGCTGTGTTACATAACGCCTGGGGCCGACAACGGAGCCCTGCGCATACACATGACATAATTATCGATATATCTGATGCTTACCTTATCATAACATATTATGTAACAATGCCAATGGGTGTTTATTTTGTAATGCCTGTTTCTACTTCTTTTGCCTGTAGCCTCATTTACGTTAAACGGCTTCAAACGATAGTTTTAAAATTATATATACATAAATACCATTTTTAACACTCCGGCCAACGTGTTTAAAAAAAATCTTAGTAATCGGTTGTGTAGCTAAGATGCGGCAAGCGAAGCGTAAAACAAACGATCTCACATTCGCATTTAACATGTTAGTTATGATCATAATTCAGATCAATATTCAGATTGTACTGAATATACTGATTCAATATTCAGATCTATATTCACGAGCTTTTAGTCTGTGCTTTTAAAATGCTTATTTGTCTATCATATGTATATGTAGACAGTTATCAAAGCAACATGTTCCCAGACGGAGGTAGTACATAATATTACAATACAATGTTACATACTTAAGATTAATGGGTACAAATTACGGCCATTGTAAAATAATGCCATATGTTCATTACATAAACATTATACGGTATTATGACAAAGGTCGTAATACATTAAGTAATGCAGTGAAAGCCTCCAAAATTGACCTACCAAGCGAGCGAGTGGGTGGGACTTTCGATTTCTTTAACGCGATGCTCCACAGCGCAGTGTTGAGTAATCTCACCGTGCTCATAAATGACCTTTAACATTTATTTAATGTAGCATCTATTTCCATCTGTTTAAACTTTTTTATAAATTAAACAGTTTTTTATTGTCTACTTTAAAAAATTTGAAACTTTCAATATTATGAGAAAGTTTATCATAATTTGTATTAAAATACACTAGTCGTTTATTGCAGAAAGGAATATCGATCGATAATGTTAAAAAATGGTCACTGACATATGAGCGGCCTAATCTGATGTAACTAACTTGGATAACAACCATTGTTTGGCGGTGAAAGTTTGTAAATCTTACCATTAAATCGGTTAAAAGCATCAACGGGAAGTATTATGACGAGAAATTTATATTAAAAAAAATACAATGAGATAAGATCTAAATAGATGAAAATGAGAATTTCTTTATTCTTGTTACGTGTAGAGCTTTCGAATGTGATACAATATAATTTATTAATAGATTTATATTTTTAGATTGTCTATTTTATGCCCTCTTTTAATGATATTCCACTTCTAGAACTTCAATTGAGAGACTGTCAAATGTTTGACTACTACAAATGAAAACAAACTAACTACAAATGAAAAAAAAAGAGTAGAAAAGAGGTTTTTAGGTTTAAAATATTTTTAACTAACCGTTATTTCAAGAAAGTATTATTTCTGTATTGACTTTTTATGAATAGATTTAAGATTAATAATATGATTGACGTTATATTACAAAACTTTCAAGACCGTAAATAAAACAGCTATACAAATTCTCGTCACGTAATAGTAACGTAACTCTTTTAATATAATGGCTGTAGTTATATATATTAATGTCTAATATAAAGGTTACAATTATATATTTATCAATAGAAACCTTACCTGTTCCTTATAAAGAAATTACTAGCTTCCTGAATGAACAACAAAGGTAGTCAGTTGTATAGGAGGTTATAGGAAAAACTATATTTATATACGTTCTTCATAATATTCATGTAAATAAAACACTAAAGAAATATGGATATAATCTAATTAATACTTCAAATACTTTTTGAGACCTCAAACGAAAGAATAATTACAAGTACAAGAAGATGATTGATCAAGATTTAAAAAAAAAGTAACGATCTTTGAACAAAAATAATAGCATTGAAAAGTATAGTGACCATATTAAAACAAAGATCTTACTCAAAATCACTGACGCAATAAAAGGACATTGAAGTTTATCTATGTATAAATATAATCATTACCTAGTGATTTTACCACAAAGCTCAAGATAAAGCGTTAATGCAGCATTCAAACAAAAATACAAGGACAACCTATCGATGCAAAAATTGTTTACGGTCTTATAGTAAACGATGCCACCTATAAAAATTAAACAACAAGACAATGCATGGGCTTGACAAGAGGTTATTTATATCGTCGTTCGAAGGACATACAATCACCCGATGTACATACTTCTGTAGGTTATCCGACAATCGATAGCTTATTGAGAACTTATAGAACGCTAATGATTTTTCTGTACACCTATTATAGTATTTATTCGATATCTATGTTAAAAATAAATAGAAAATAATAATTTAGGAGAGGGTTTCTATTTATCAAAGTTATTATTACTATTAAACTATTATTTATCTAAACTATTGTACTGTTATGAATAACAAGAAATTTGTGTTTGCCTAAATTTTAAAGGAGCTTTAATGGTTTCTATTACTTATAAATTTCTACTGTGTGGCGACCATGATATGTAGACATATTTGTCTAATGCCTTATCGCAGTCTAATAAATAAGACGATGTTCATTTGACTCTATCATATGACAGTTAGAATCAATGAATATGACATTACGTCTGAAATTCAAAACTGAAGTTTTAGTTTTTTGTTCGCTTTGGCAACTTAACATTCGAACATATTAGTTTTGTCATCGATAGAAAGACCTTGAATATATAATTGAATTTTCATTAACCTTGTGCCTTATTCGTCTTTTTAATGATTTACCTACATATGTGTTAAATTGAAGGAAATTGAATTTAACAGTGTCTTGTTTACACATTATCTAAAATTCTTTAGATGGGAACAGGACGCCTCATTGTTGAATCAAACGCAGTACCGTGAGATATCATTGTCGGCGGTGTATTTTCGTCTAAGAATACAATTTCCGTTGCATTGTTTACATCTAAATGGCTGTTAATAAGATATTTTCTGTAAAACGACCTCTCTAATATAAATGACTTTATCTTTTTTATGAAACTATAGGGTACCGTGATTAAAACTTGTTAATTTACAATATGACTAATTACGTAGGGACATAAGTTAGCCTTATACTTAAGCAACTAAATCTAAAGTCTAGCTTCCTCAAAGATATAAACGTAACTAGACGTAACCAACATTTATTTATTTAATTAAGTTTTAAAAGTTTTTATGCTTGTATGTATGTTCCGTTCCCCGCAAAAAAATAAAATAAAACCGACTGATTATTTCAAAGATTAACGCTACTAAATGAACAAAAAACTCAGTTTTATAACATGAGTCCACATACTTGGTTTCAGGATGTATGTCATTGAGATTAAGTTGTCAAATAAATAGCCGTCCAATTAAGTTATTAAGCAGTTAACAGCACTTATTAAACCTGAGAGCAACATAATGGGTTACACAATTACACCCTAATTTTTGTATTGGAGAGAGTAACACGCTTTGTTCCTGTACAGATGTCTACAGTATGTAGAGATATCTGTGTAAGCAATGATTAAATATCTCAATTTTTCTAAATTACCCTCGGGATATGAATCTGGCTAATTAGTTGAGACGTTGGTATATGATTTAATACTTTACTTTCTAAAAAAATAATTGAGGAACAATCTGGTTACAAATCTGGTTTAATTTTAAAAATTATTTATTCAAAATATAGAAACAACTTTTAATGAAAAAAATTGCATTATGCAAAAATTTTGTACTAACGTTATCGACTGGCTTTTTGAGAACTCTTCAATAGTCATCTTTCATCAAACATTGTAGCGTAGTATGAATAAAATATCAATAAAAACAAATGAATTACTTTTGATGTTTTTTTTGTAATTATACCGTATAATCAGATGTTTAGTATTTGAAACATGAAACTATTTAGGAGATAATTTAATGTAAACTTGGTTAATAATAATTTTAACAAAAATTTCGCTAGACTTGTAAGAGAAACTTTAAAATCCGAAACCGAATAAGAAAAATTGTACTTACATTTACAAACATTCTAAAGAAATTAATACAATTTATTTACCTATACGAAGTTGAACATAACTACTAATAAAAGATATTATACTCGTAAAGTGCTCACATGCGCACTCAACCGACTGATACATTTTCTCCGTGTTTTCATTGCTCTCGTGAAATTCGCGCACGCACCGCACACCTCAATTATAAAATGCCTTCACGCTCGCAATAATAACACTATATGAATATTAATAGCGTGGCTAAGTGCCGTTAGATTTAGATAATTCAATAATTAGTAAATATTAAGGCTATCAATATCTAAAACATTACGTGGTCATGAACTAGATCAAAGAAAATCAAAACCAATAGCCAGAGAATAGTTTCAAGTCCGATTATTTAAAAAATAATTTAATGATGTAAATAAGAGAGTTATTTTAATTAAAGTTAAACGCCCGCTTTTATTTCATTAGTGTGATTATTATGATTGATTATGAATCTGTAACTTATTTGTATTATATTGTAATAATAATGTTTATGCATAAACTACTGACTGAAATGACTCCACAAGCATCTCATCAATATTGTACTAAGAACTAGAGAAAAAGCTACAGAAAATATCGGCGCTTGCGCAACTGATTCGTGGCGCCCGTGAGAACTAAGTACGTGTTAGAAATCCTAACTATAATAATTAATTCCACCAACAGCTCATAAATAACTTCTGAGTGAAAACAAAACATTTTGCTCCACAACGCGGGTTATATATTAATGGTATCAATTGAAGCTTCGAATTACCATTGCGCTTTTCTTCGGTAGAACTTATGCTCATAGTGTTAATAAACTCAATCAATATATTCAACTATATCATCTAATTTAAATGTATTTACATAAGCGGCAATGGAAATATTTTATATTCGAGTCTCACTACTTTTGAATAGAAAAGATTGTTAATATCTTAATCTTTTCCTTTTATCAGTTGATTAGTAAAGTTTTGAAAAAACTTTTTACTAGATTGTTCCAGAACAAGATAGCTGCACAAACATTAATAATATTAAAATAGTCCATGTCACATGTGAAACGACATTGTCATTTAGTTTAGCTTCCTGCATTCATTGAGCGGAAGTAAAAGCTATGGATGTAAATGCGGAAGTCCATAAAACCGAGTATGTATGTACATACATATATATGATTACTTCAATATCTGAACGGTCATTGGCGGTATGCTTCAATATGAATATTAATAAAAGTATACTAAACTACTACTGAACTAAATGCCAATTCTTCTACATATTGTATGGCGTCATTTTATTTAAAGATGTGTTCTAATAATTTCATTTTGAAAATTTAAGTAATTACTTTCGTTGTTAATAGTGTTGCGTTAGTCGGTTTATGCTCACGGCAGCTGTTGATCTCATTCCAAAGGTTCGTAACTCAAATACTTTATCTATGTCATAACCTGACATAAATCGAAGGTGTGCCACCAGTGATAGTTACGAAAAATGCTAATCAGTCAACTTAAGATTACGCAACACTGCTACTCGTATGTATAGAATATTTTAGCTGCCAAATTGATTACAACATCTTGTTAAGGTCATACATTTTCTTAGAATAGAAATGGTTACATCATCATTATAATAATAAAAACAGTACAATAATTTATAATAAATGGTTCTCCAATTTATAAATGAAGTTGTTAGTTGTTAGTCTTTATGACAATGTTGACGGTTTAAACTTATATTAAGAATGCATTTTGTAGATATTAAAAATCAAGAGAAAGCTTATGCACCGTTCTCGTAAAAGAAAGAAACTACAATATGATTCTGCAGTTCGAAATAATTATTAAGGAAACATGACCAACCGCTTTCACACTGTAATGCAGCTCAGCGAGATGTTTTCTTACCTAATGGTAAGACCTGCAATTGATAACATACAAACAGCTTTTATAGCTTTGTCTGTGATTATACGAGGTCAATGACATTTATCGTAAAAGAAAAGAATAGTGTCAGCGGCAGGAATTAGGTTGATTGGCAACGTAATGGGACCTAGTTCACACAATTTGGGTGTTTATTACGTCATTAAGCTCATTGTTTTACACGGATGTCAAAATTTCGACGTGTTTATTTTATGCAAACTATTTCACCACCTACGGGATTGCTGTGAGTGTTGTGTTGTGTTGCTGGGAGTGTTTTTTTTAAATATTGAAATGGTTTTTGGAGTCTTATACTTAACTCAGGAGTTGGTAAAATTTAACTTTAAAAACGTGCATATGATCAGTTCGTGTGTCACTGGGACAGGTTGTGTTCGTTTTACCACATCATCGGCCGCAATCTGCTCTCAACACTTGTTGCGTTTGCGCAGTTGCAATGTTAAATGTGGAAATTGTATCGATCACACTTTGGCTGCTTTCGTATCGCATCGCCATTCATACATTTTATGCACCGCACCCTAAATATTTGAAATGTTACGTACCCACGCCGAGGGCGGCTGCTAGCACTATTAAACACCTTGAATTCATGGTTAAACTGTAAGTCCTGACACGGGAGTAGTGGACACTGTAACGTTCAAGCACACACTGCGAGCGGGTGAATGGGCGGTTGAGGCTTTTATATCGGGTAAGCGCATGGACGGTGAAAAGCGACGTCGCCGCCCGCGCAAGCCCCGCTCGCGTCGCGCACCCTGCCGCGGGGTGGCCACACTACCCCGCGACACTGTAAACATTCGTACATCATCATCATTCACTACAGCTACGGTGTTCAAAAAATTTTGTTTGTCGTTATTGCCAGTTTTTTCGAGACACCGGAGGTACTTACAACTGCATAATAGCAATCGTAAAAATTTAAACTGCATAGTTATGTATCTTAACTAGAGTTATTGCAATTGTTTATTATATGCAATCGAAGCATTATTGAAGTCTTTTTATTTATTAAGTAATCTTTTTTTTTCTCCAAGCTATATGTATTAGGACGTGATTGCATATATCTGTAACCTATTGCTTAATGAATTTGATCGAGGCACTAAATTGCTTTAAAGATGTTTTGTGATAAAAAGTCTATCTTGTAAGATGCGCATAGTGTTAGGTAGTTGTTGAAACTTTGTGTAATATTATCGTTTATTTAATAATCAATAAATATTAGAGCTAGTAATGTCTATATTGGAGCTTTCTACTTGAAAAATTGTGTTGTTTCAAAAGTCTCACATGCAGGCAAGACATGTCACGGTATGCATTAAAAATTTTTGCCACCCAACAGAATGTCGTGGCAAGCCATTGCTAGGATATTTAAACTTTTTTGCAAAACCAATGTTAGTCAAAATTTACCACTGACACCAATTGATCTTATTACCCTACTGTGGTGAAGATAATAAGCCCTCCTTTTCATCTTATATTTAACCTGTATGTGTCCGTCCCTATGTCCTTTGTACCCACTCAACAGCTGAACCGTTATTGTGTAAGTGTATCTAAATATTTTAAGGTTTTTTCTTTATTTATTTATTAACAGACTGTACACTACCTTTACAGGTTTTCAACCTGATACGATAGTATAGCTACATAATTATTATATATAGTTGATGGTAAATAAGGTTAATAAACACGAACATGGATTTTATGGTATCTAAATCAAAGATTTTTTAAATAAATATAAGTAACGTTTTTATTAATCAATACTTTTAAAGCGCTCTACTTTTTTGTATCGTTTAGAGATTTCTTTCACTAAAAAAATAAATGATATAATTTAGGTAAATGATAACCTCAGCTAGATTAGTTATTCTTTTATTTTTCCTTGGTATTTAATGAATAACATGTGGCTTTATCGATGTGATTTATTTTTAACTTATGCTATCACCAAACTTCAACGTGTGTGTTTTGATGGTCCTTAATAAAAAAAAAAAAATGAAATGCTATAAAAAAACTTTTTCCTTTCACATAACACCCGTAATTGTATAGGTGGACAGTTAAGCCCATTATCATTAAACATCTCGAGTTCACTGAAGCATTAAATATGTACCTACACAGAAGTGATCCACGGTCCAGCTGATCTACAGCGAAAGTATTTTCCGATATAAACTGTATTTTAAATTGCGATCGATCTCATGAACGGACCTTGAATTACGTACTTGTTCATATCATAATAGGAGGTTATAAAACTTACATGAAGAAATAAATAACCACAGATCATATTCTCATGGTAAAACAATAGTTTTACAGTCGACTGGTAATAAAGGCTGGATCACAAGGTAAGATGCTGAATCTTGCATTGATTTCAACGCGTAAAATTACCAAAAAAATATTTCAATTGATTAGTTTTATATTGATTTGAAATTTAAAAATATCCGTGTATACACTTCTTACTATATTTTGAATTCAGGAAAACGTTTTGATTTATAAAAACTTCATTAAGTTCTGTAATGACAAACTTATTGTCTATTATTATGTAGACTTAGTCCTTGTTATTGAAACTTGCAAGATTTCTGATGTCATTATTCATCAAAACAAATGACTAACATCTCCTTCTGATAGGTTTCGTACAGATAGTTTAAAATTTAATTTAGATTATTGTGTAAAGCATTTTCTATTGCTGACACGTCTTAACCTACCTTTCCATATATTTATATTTTCCCATTATTCATTCCCAAAGCGCCCAGTTGATGGCCCTAGGCTTGTCCCCTTTAACGTAAATGGCCAAGGGTTATAGTAGATCAAAGTGTGGGTGTTAAAAACGTCTTGCCAACAATTTCCCACATCCACAAATATATCATCACATCATCACAGATCAACAGCCTTTATTAGTCCACTGCTGGACATAGGCCTCTCCTTAGAAAGTAGGTTTTGGCCTACTATACCACGCTGGCCAGACGGGTTGGTATAGGGTTTGTGTCAAGTTTTCCATATTTTTGCAGTGCTGGTGTCTTACGTGGTTTTGCGTCCTTAGTCGGTTATTACGACACCCACGGATGAATTGGGGTAGTGACATTCCGTATTCTTAATCCGTCACACACTACACGGACTACACTACGCAAATATTTGTCTATGCAAAATTTGTACATGTCTAACTTGAACTCGAATTTATAGCGCAAAAATAAATAGAAGGGATTTCATATTTTATTGAATGTAAATTTTAATTTTCTAAAGAAAATTTTCTAAAGATAGGTAATACTACTCAAAATCATGTCAATCTTTAACACATTTCTCGTAAAACTCTTTTAAATATAATACTTGTGCCAAAACCTACAGCCTACATATATTCTGGTCAATAAATATTCGTAATAACATCAATTTTGACCCACAGTTACATACCTTATATTTAAATATAAGACGAGTATATCGAGTAGACGACCGTTTGCGTCCGAGTCGAAAGCCTGCGGGTTTCACAGTTCCGTGCAAAATATTATACATGTGGATATGTGAATATGTATTCATATTACCTATTGTTAGCATTTGGTTTTGTAACATTAGCGAGGCCGAGGATTCAAAAAATTCAATGCAGAACTAGTATTCGGATCATGTTTTTTTTTATAGTGAGGTTCCGTATTTAAATGTGTATTATGTAATAGGTATTATGTGCATCGCGTGTTACAAAGTACTCGTAGATTTTATTTTTAAATGTCATCGATACTCCATACTTAATAACCGTACAGTTATTATGTACCTTTTCTCTATAATGATTGAATAAAACCTTTTTAATTGTTGTAATTAATAACGGTTTAGCGATGATATGACCATTTAATTTCTTTTATTATTGTTGATGAATTATTTCCCTAAGTTACAAGTGGTATCTAGTTTTAATATTTCCTGTTAGTGTTTTGTTGAGTGAGTCAGATATTGCACCTGTTAAGCCTATAGACACATTGTAACAAAAGTGGTAGAACTGGAATGTCGACAACTTCTAAAATACAATGTAGTTTTAAGTCTTAAAAATGTGGGCTATTTTTAGCATAATACGATTCAGGAACATTGTAACGGATAGGGGCCATAGGCGGGTGACACGAAAACATTACGAACCTCTCAGTTCGTTATTTAAAGGAATAACCAATGCCACTACCTGTGACAGGTGGTGTCACAGGTATTCAACCAATACTCATTACTACTAATTAGTGTTTTTTAATATTCTACAATATACTGTAGTGACAGAGAAATATCTTCTCTTATCAAATAAATGGCAACAATGAAATCTTACTCTCTTATCTACTTAATATACTTGCAACAGGCTATATCTACTACTTCTTTGATGTATCAAAAAATAAAAACATGTAAAGTAAAGAGGTAAGGTAGGGTAATACCTCATGTCTCGTGTGGGTAAAGGAATTGAGAATGAGGCAATAATGACGATGTAATCTGCGTTACTAAAAAGCTTCTGATAAAATTAAATAATTTATTTCTAAATATGTGTAATTTGACCATAGATCATACCTACCTTGATAAGTGTTGTAACATCAAGTTTGAAAATCATTAATTCCTTCTGTCAGCAATGTGTTAATTTCTTTATGGTGTTAAAACAAGATTCACGTAATCAGATTATTTTTGGATAATGACAACCTGTATCCGTGTGGTGACGGATTAAGAATACGGAGTGTCACCACCGCTATTCATCCTGTTTGTGTCATGAGAGCGTCAGTCATAAAGGAGCAAACTACGCACGATAAGAGCACTGCAAAGAGAAGAAAAGCATGACACAAACATTAACCATATACCGTCTGGACAGCATGGTATAGTAGTCCAAAATATTCTTTCTAAGGATAGGCCTATGTCCAGCAGTGGACTATTTAAAGCTGTTGATGATGATGATAACTGGGCTGGTTCGACTATAATCAGAAAACCAGAAAACCAGTATTAAACAATTTCTTCGTTTCTTTTCACTGAATTAGAAAGGTCACTGGAGCTCAACCACTTTTGTGGGGACCCCCCTCCCCATAAAGTGAGCCGTACTCAACGAGCGGCAACGCACTTGTGTCTCTTGCGTTGCATGTGTCTATCAGTGACGGTGGTCGTTTACCATCAGGGGACCCGTCTGCTCGTTTGCCTCTTATACCATAAAAAAAAACTGTTAATTTAGTGCACGGCAAAAAGTATCCCATGGCATTGTTATTTTTGTATTCATATATATTTCGGGTTCCGTACCTCAAAAGGTAAAAAAGGAACCCTTATAAGATCACTTTCTTGTCCGTCTGTCCGTCTGTCCGTGTGTCACCACCGATTTTCTCAGGAACGGGTAGACCTAACAAGTTGAAATTCATACCAGATACTAAGGTATATGGTCCCTATTAGGTGTATAAAAATCAAGGTCCTGAGTCCTGAGGCAACACGATAAAAAGATATGGTCAAAATTTAGATTTACGCGACAACTTGTAAGTACAAAAGGTTTACCTTAATTTTCAACTTTTTTTATTTTTCAGAATTTTTTCTTTACTTGTGCATAATTCTATTATATTCTATTCTTGTGTGTAATTCTAGGTCAACCGGCAGTACTCTATAGGTTTTGCGTCGAAAACCTATATTAGGTAGTTCCCGTTGACCTAGAA